GCGGCCTCACCCCCTCCGACCGCCTCCCACTCCGCAGCGGAATCGGACATGTCCAAGCCACCGTGTTACGAAGAGGCGGTGCTGATGGCCGAGCCGCCGCCGCCCTACAGCGAGGTGCTCACGGACACGCGCGGCCTCTACCGCAAGATCGTCACGCCCTTCCTGAGCCGCCGCGACAGCGCGGAAAAACAGGAGCAGCCGCCTCCCAGCTACAAGCCGCTCTTCCTGGACCGGGGCTACAACTCCGCGCTGCACCTGCCCAGCGCCCCTCGGCCCGCGCCGCCCTGCCCAGCCCTCTGCCTGCAGGCCGACCGTGGCCGCCGGGTCTTCCCCAGCTGGACCGACTCAGAGCTCAGCAGCCGCGAGCCACTGGAGCACGGAGCTTGGCGTCTGCCGGTCTCCATCCCCTTGTTCGGGAGGACTACAGCCGTATAGAGGGGCGCCCGGCGCCCCGGGCCCCACCGGCGGACTCCTGGCCTGACTGCGGGGCTTTTTAAATGCTTCCCTGGACTGCGGGGAGGGGCGGGGGGAGGGAGGGATTTCTTATCCCGTTTGTTACATTTTGAGGATAATAAAGGTGTGTGATCTGGTTTGGTACATGCGGAGGGTGCACCCGCTGCTTTCGCCCAGGGTTCTGGTGACCAGACAAGCCGGGACCTTGGCAGGACGGACCCTGAACGTGCGTTTCCGCCACAATAGAGCCTAAGGGTACAGAGCTGAGATCAACCTTCTCAGTTCCAGGCGGCTTCCCCTGGGAGCCTCAGCCCCCAGCACCGCCCCCCGGTCCCGGCGGGTCTTGGAATTAGGGTGAGGACGCCCCCTGGTGGCAAGGAGGTGCTGCGGCCTCGGAGATGGGAGGAGTTGGGAACCTGGGTCAGGGCAGGCGGCAGCCCAAAGGGATCTGGATTTCTTTATTAACAGACATGAGCACGACCCGTTACAGAAGTTTGTGCTTTCCAAAAAAAACAGTTACTGAACGTGAAAAAGGAACCCAAGCAAAGAGGAAGGAGTTGGGGAGGGGCCACCAAAGCCCCTGGGCCCCATCCATAGCCCTGACCTGAACCGCGCCTAGGGCCTCCAGCCTGGGACCTGCCCGGCAGGAGAGGGGGGGGGGCAGCCGAGGGGCCCCAGCTGGGCCTGCTACTTCCTTTGGGCCAGACAAGAAGGGGTCAAAAGAAGGGCGGGGAGGGGGTCCCAGGGAGCCAGAGCCCACGAGCCATTTATTGCCATGTTTTAAAATTCGTGCAAAATATCTGAAGCCCTGGACAGAGAATACAAAGTGATATTTTTCCAAGAAACATAAAACTAGGAAAAGAGGTGGGAGACATTTTCCCACCAGAGCTCCCCGAACGCCAGGCCCCAAGCAGGGTGAGGCCTCCACCCCGGCCAGCTGAGCAGGGAGGACTAAGAGCTACAATCTGGACCAGGGAAGGAGGGGTGGAATTTGCAACAGCGTCTCAACTACCAACGGGAGGAAAACCAGTCAACTGTACAAGTCTCCTATCAACTTTTAAAAAAAAGAGAAAAGCTGTAAAAGTCAGGCCCTGTGGGTAGGGAAGCGGCCAAGTCCCCAGCCAGGGCCGGAATCCAGAGTGGGTGCCAGGCGGAGCTGCTGCGAATGCAGGCACGGCGGGCCGTCTGGCCAGAGGCCGATGCAGGTGGGCGGCCTTGGCAAGGGTAGCCTAGGGTTGGCGCCACCACTAATCACCACCCTCGAAGCCCTCCTCCTCTTCTGGAACTGGGTCTGCATCCCAGCATGTGATGTCGATTTCTGAGGCGTTAGAAAGGGAGAGGAGTTAAGGACCTAGCAGACCCATTCTTGTGTCCCCAGCCTCTGTGAGCGGTGGGCAGTGGTGGGGTGGCTACCCACACTCAAATCCAGCCCCCACACCCAAATTCCTCCCCATAATCCAGCCCAGTACTACCTGGAGGCTTGTTGTAGAACACAGGAGGTGGAGCCTTGGCACAGAGCTCTTCCGATTGGGCAAACTCCTCCTCCTGTGATTGACTGAAATACCCCTCACTGGCCTGCAGGTGAAAGCATTAGGTCACTTGGCCCCACCCAGCCGGACTGGGGCTTACCTATCAGGCCTGAGCCCGTTTCCCCAGCAACCAATGACTCCATCAGTGGTTGCCAGGGAAACACGGATGCCTGCCTTGGGAACAAAAGCAGAGCTGGCCCACAGAGGCGGGGTGGGATGGACTTCCCCTCCAATAATGTGGGTCACAGAGAAAGGGGGTACTGGTGCAAGCATGAGGAATGCAGGGCCAGCACCCTGCTCAGCCCCCACTCCCTCCCATCCCTCCCACCAGGCAGTCCCTGCCGCACCTGGGTCCCCTCCTTCTGGGTGGTCTCGCCATTGGTTAGCAGGTGGGGCTCTGGCTCCTGCTCTTGCTCCAGCTCCTCAAGGGCTGAGGGCAGAGTTGGGGTCTGGGGGGCAGCCAGGGGCTCCCCTTCTACTTCCTCTGGGTCACAGAAGGTGGCTGGCGGCTCAGGCAGCTCATCAAAGTTGAGAAGGGTGGCACAGCCTTCACCTGCTGGCGGCAGTGGCTCCGGAGCCACCTCGTCCAGCAGGGGCACCTCTGCCAGGGTGACCTCAGTACCCGAGGGTGGCGTGGGGGCCCTGGGCTCACCCTGGAGTGTGGAGGCCCCTTCCCCATTGCCAGGCCATAGGTCAATGAGGCTGGTGGCAGCGGGGGGCACGTTGTTGGCAACAGTGGTGTCTGCAGTGGCAGTGTCGGTTTCAATGGCGTCAGCTGCATCGTGGACCTCGGTGGCGTCAGCTGTGGCAGGCTCCACAGGAGCAGCCAGGACAGCCTGCTCTGCAGACTCCATGAACATCAAGTCCTCTGCAGGGCTGCCTGGCCCCCGGGGAGGCGCCTGTGCCTGAGGGGGCTCCTCCATGGGGCCAGCCCAGGCCTGAGGGGCTGCTGCTCTGGTCTCCTCACTGTCCAGGATGGGGCTGGGCTCCTGGGTCTCTGTCACAGCACAGGCAGAGGAGACATGCAACCGGCTCCCCTGGGGGAGGATGGAGACCCTGCCCACCCACTAACGAGTGAGAGAGCCGGGGACTTCCATGCAGGTGGCCCACTGCCCCCTTACCCAGTGACCCCAGTGACTTTAAGCCCCTTGGCAGCTCTGGGAAGGCCCGATTCCCACTTGAGAGGGCAGGTGCTAAGCTTTAGAGAGGGCAGGTCTGACTGTACACCAGGGCTCCTCCCCCAGCAGCCGCCTCCAGGGCAGTGCAGTCTTGGTGATGGGTGGCCCAGATCCCTGGAGAACGGTTACCATGGCAACCTGGGGCTCCCAGCCAAGGACTGATGATGGGAGGCCTGGTGCAGGTAGGATCCCTCTCTCACCTTGGGCTGGTGGGGGTGGCGGTGGCAGCGGTGGAGGCTGCGAGGATGTGACCTCATCCAGGGCCCGCTCTATCTGCTCAGCAACAGGGGTGGAGGCGGTGCTGGAGTCAGACGGGCTCCGCGTGGGGATAGGAGTGGGCGCCATCCTCCGGTGGCTGTCCAGGTGGCTGCCTGTGGAACAAACCCCAGGTGGGTCAGTGAGGGCGGGGGAGTGGGGTGAGACAGGATTGTCCTCCTTGGGGCCTGGCCAGCACCTCCTCTCTGGAGTCTGGGTGGGGGCTGGGAGCTCCCCAGCCCCCGCAGGGGCCAGACTACAGCTCCAGACCCTGTAAGCTAGGCCCCTGGGGGCCAGTGCCCCACAAGGCCAGGGGCAAGAGGCAGGCAGTGCCTGCCCTGGGGACAAACGCCAGAGATCAGCGGTCAGGCTGGGGGAGTGAGGGCGGGGGGCTGCTGGGAAGCGGGGCCCTCCTTACCACCCCCGCCGAGGCCTGGGGCTGCTACCTACATGGGAGGGAGGAAGAGAGGTTTGGGGTGCGGTGACAGGTGATATAGGGAAAGGGAGTCCGTGGAGGGGAGGAGGAGGAAGAGGAGGAGGAGGAAGGCCCACTGTCCGATGCCTTTATGAAAGGGCAGTACGGACGACCTGCCGAGAGAGACAGACAGAGAAAGAGACAGAGGACAAGAGAGGGTCAGTCTCCCCCACCCCTGCCCGAGGCCTCTCCCGCCCCCAGGGCTGGCCCTGGATGTCCAAGCTGCCTTCAGCCAGGGGCACACTCAGCCAAGCCAGCCACAGCCTCACACCAGCCCCAGACACACAGCCAGCCTGGGAGCAGTACAGCGGACAGGGCCTGTGGCGGGAGCCCAGCACGGCGCAAGCACACTCAGACCAGCAGACAGGACAGGGAAGAGCTTCAGGGGAGGCAGAAGCAGCACAGTGAGAAGCGGCACAGGGACACCTGGGTGCAAGCTCCAGGAGGCTCACTCAGGCCGGGGACAAGAGCCCAGCCCGCATGCATCCCAGCCTTCCAGGCCAGGCCTAATTCACCCCAGCCGAGCTGCTCCCCGCGGCCAGCGCTGTGCCTCGGCCCATGCCAGAGCTACCCCACAGGCTCTAGCACTCCCCACTGTTCAGCCACAAGCGACTTCACCACCATCCCTGGCCCTTCTTGGGGTCCTGCCACCTGGGAAGTGGTGGGCGGATGCACGCTGGATGAAGGTCTCGCCTTCTCCAAGGGTTCCTTGGGCAAGGCTTCCCTTCCAAGAGAGTCCCAGAGAGGCTCAGGGCCGTGACCTAAGGAGTGGGGCCAGGTGGGGGTGAGGCCTAGGACTACCTGGTCGATGGTTGAAGGGCGAGGGCACATCACAGCTGCCTGCAGAGGCTGATGCGACTCTTTCCTGCTGCTTGAAGAACTCCCGTGGGTTGTCAGGTCGCTGGGCAATAATGGCCGCTGCCTCCTGAGGGCACAAGGAAAAGGTTGGGGCTCGGCCAGGCAAGCTGAGGTAGCCCTGTCCGCCTCACCTGGCTGGTGCGCCAGCTCTCACCTCCACCTCCGACTCTGACTTCTTCATGTGAGTCTCTTCCTCCTCATCCCGATGGTCACCCTAGAAACAAAGGGACAGTGTCTGGTGCACCTACCCCCACAGGGGCTCTTGGCCTTCTTTTTTACTGTATTTTATTTATTCATTTTGTTTTTAAGACAGGTTCTCGCCCTGTCACCCAGGCTGGAGAGCAGTGGTGCAATCGCGGCTCACTGCAGCCTCTGCCTCCTGGGCTCAAGCAATCCTCCCACCTCAGCCTCCCGAGTAGCTGGGACTACAGGTGTGCACCACCATGCCCGGCTAATTTTAATTTTTTTGTAGAGATGGGGTCTCCCTATGTTGCCCAGGCTGGTCTCAACAAACTTCTAGGCTGAAGGGATCCTCCTGCCTTGGCCTGCCGAAGGGTTGGGATGGATTACAGTCATGAGCCACCAGTGCCCAGCCTTCTGGCCTTCTTACAGCCCCCATGCTTCTTTCACAATCTGGCAGGAAGGGTCTCAGAGGTGGTACCTCTGCCCCTTTTGAGTCACACAGTCCCTCTCTTCCCTCAGGGCCCTCGGCCACCTAATCTCTGACCTGCCAGGCCTCTGGGCACCAGGCTCACTCACCCGCTTGCTCATCCCCATATCTAAGCAAGTGCCTAGGGCCATCCAGGAGTGCTCCTTGTTTTGCAGATAACTTTTCTCGGACCTCCTACCCTAGCGCCGGGGCCACCATGCTGCCAATGTTGCTGCCTGGACCGTGGCATCACGGCCCATCCTTCCTCACTGCTACCTGCCTTATTTGCTCTCCATAGGCCCTGAAAGGACCTTTCCAAAATGCGGATCAGACCATGATTTTTCTGAGCTTAAAATCTCTCAGGGGTTCCCATGAGCCACAGCAAGCACTGGCTAAATATGACCCACAGATGGCTTTTGTTTTGCTGGTATGATATTTTTAAACCATGTTAATTAGTTGCCACCACTTAAAAACCAGGAACTTTCATACTGAAATCAGGGTCCCAGTTTCTCTTGAGGTGCCAGAGCCCTGGCGACATCACCTGCAAGCTCCAGAGCAGCCATCACCGGGGCCTCGCCGCAGCCCCCTTAAGACAGGCTTGTGCCGCCCGCTTGCTCCCGGCCCCACCATCGCCTACTGGCTTCACCTGCCCACTGCACGCACTGTTTTGGGTAGGCAGGGCCCTCGCTTGGCCTACGTCCCCCACCCCTGCCTGACCTAGCCATCACCTCTCTAATGCCACCCCCTGCCGGCCCCCACCCCACAGCGCCCACATACTGTGAGATGTAGACATCAAGTCCTCAGCACGACACAGTCAGTTCCCAGAACAGGCACACCCATTCCCACCTCCAAGCCTCAGCACGGGAGATCAGCCCCTCTCCCAAATGCCTGCTCCCGACCCGGGGGCCAGGCCCTCTGGTTTCCAGCTGCAGCATGACCACTGCTTCCTGGGGAAGAGGTCCCTGGCTTGCTCAGGTCATTTTCTCCTCTGGGTGTTCCTGGCTTCCACCACAATGACACCACATCCTTAAGTTCCTATTTCCGGAGGCACCTCCCTCTCCGCTGTGAGCGACACAGGATGAGGACTGGGGTCTGCGGGTGGGTGGCCAGTACAAGGCGGGTGCATGTTTGCTCAACTGCACTCATACACCTAAGGCTTCTTAGTCAGTGTCCCCTGCTGCTCAGGTGGCAGCTTGGACAGGAGGGGCTGCTAAGGTGGTGAAGTCCCAGGGCAGCTCTGCTTTTGAGCCTACAATCTAGAATTTTAGCTTATCTACCAGGGGCACTGGGAGAAGGGCCCTTCGTAGTATCCCACCCTCAGGAGGGCTGTCACCTCAACGATAACTTTGTGACCCCCAGAATGAAGTCTAAACTCCTCCTCTGCCCTTGCTCCCCTTTCCCAATCAAATTTCCCCCACTCCTCAGCCCACGGAGTTCCAGACAGCCCAGGCTCTTCGCCTTCCCATGAGCCTGTGTCCCACCAGCCTTTGCTGCTCTGCCCCTTGCCTGCTGTAATCTCACTTGGTTCCTCTGCCTTGTTCAAAGTAAGGACCAGGGGTAGCTACCACAAAGGCTTTTTTTGTTTGAGATGGAGTCTCGCTTTGTCGCCGGGGCTGGAGTGCAGTGGCGCGATCTCAGCTCACTGCAAGCTCCGCCTCCCGGGTTCACGCCATTCTCCTGCCTCAGCACCCTGAGTAGCTGGGACTACAGGCGCCCGCCACCGCGCCCGGCTAATTTCTTGTATTTTTTAGTAGAGACAGGGTTTTACTGTATTATCCAGGAGGGTCTCGATCTCCTGACCTCATGATCCACCCGTCTCGGCCTCCCAAAGTGCTGGGATTACAGGCGTGAGCCACCGCGCCCGACCCACCACAAAGGCTTTAACTACCAGCCATGTGAACAACACTGAAACAAGCAAGGCCCAGAGGAAGGAGAGAGACCAACGCACTAACCACACAGGTCAAAGCCACTGCTGTGCCTAAAGCATTTTCAGATATACGGGAGCTCCCCTGCAGGCCAGGCAAAAAGGGAACCCAGATATGGCACACAATTCGTAACAGGGGAGAGAAAGCAGACAGCTCCTTAAGCCAAGAGAAAGCATTTTATAGTGCTAAATCCCAAAGTCTCTCACACGTGCCCTTCCTTAGAGAACCTGAAGTTGCAAGGGAACCGCACTGACCTGCTAGAATGTCCACTGCCACTCTCAGGTGGACTATACTTGAAGGGCCAGATGGGACTATAAAATAATGGTAAGCTCCTTCAGACTTTACCTGAAATGCTGATACCTGCTGAAAATAAATCAGGGGGTTCACAACACTGTTCTGTCTACCTGCATGTCTGTATGTTTGAAATGTCAGCATAAAAATAAACTTTATCGGGGCCGGGCGCGGTGCACTTTGGGAGGCCGAGGTGGGAGGATCACCTGAGGTCAGGAGTTTGAGACCAGCCTGGCCAACGTGGTGAAAACCCATCTCTACTAAAAATACAAAAATTACCCAGGCGTGGTGGTGGGTGCCTGTAATCCCAGCCACTTGGGAGGCTGAGGCAGGAGAATCGCTTGAACCCAGGACGCAGAGGTTGCAGTGAGCTGAGATGGCGCCATTGCACTCCTGCCTGGGGTACAAGCGTGGGACTTCATCTCAAAAATAAATAAATCAATAAAAATAAAATTTAAAAAATAAATAAACTTTATCGGGCAGGGCACAGTGGCTCACGCCTGTAATTCCAGGACTTCGGGAGGCTGAGGCAGGTGGATCACGAGGTCAGGAGTTCCAGACCAGCCCGACCAACATGGTGAAACCCTGTCTCTACCAAAAACACAAAAATTAGCTGGGCATGGGGGTGCATGCCTGTAATCCCAGCTACTCAGGAGGCTGAGGCAAGAGGATCGCTTGAACCTAGGAGGCAGAGGTTGCAGTGAGCTGAGATCGTGCCACTGCACTCCAGCCTGGGCGACAGAGTAAGACTCCGTTTCAAAAAAATTAAAAAATAATAAATATTTATTTATTAACTTGGCTGGGCACGGTGGCTCACGCCTGTAGTCCCAGCACTTTGGGAGGCCGAGGCGGGTGGATCACGAGGACAAGAGATCAAGACTATCCTGGCCAACATGGTGAAACCCCGTCTCTACTAAAGATACAAAAAAAAAGGAATAAACTTTATCCACTGGGTGCAGTGGCTCATGCCTGTAATCCCAGCACTTTGTGAGGCCGAGGTGGATCACCTGAGGTCAGGAGTTCGAGATCAGCCTGGCCAACAAGGTGAAACCCCATTTCTACTAAAAATACAAAAATTAGCCGAGCGTGGTGGTGGGTGCCTGTAATCCCAGCTACTTGGGAGGCTGAGGCAGGAAAATCACTTAAACCTGGGAGGCAGGCCAGGCGCAGTGGCTCATGCCTGTAATCCCAGCACTTTAGGTGGCTGAGGTGGGTGGGTCACGAGGTCAGGAGATCCAGACCACCCTGGCTAACACAGTGAAACCCCGTCTCTACTAAAAATACAAAAAAATTAGCCAGGC